CACGCCATTTTTCGAGCCGCTCTTTCATTTGAGCCAAAAAAAACATTCATATCTTGTCTGACATCTCTGTTACAAACTCTGGTCATCAACTCTGGTTTTCAGTTGAAATTGGAATTGTTAATTTACACAATAATAGGATTCCATTGACGATTTTTTCTTAACTCGCAAAAATCTTCAAACAATTTGCTATCGATTGGTGATAAAATTTTTTGGAAATAATGAAATAGAGGGGATAACGCCTTTTTTTTCAGAGGTGATTTTTCAAAATTTTATTTTAAAAAAAGTACTAACTAGCAAATGTTTTTTATTAGCTCGCAATTTTTTTCAAAACTACTTCAATGAGGAAAAAAATAAAAATTTGGAATATCTATACATGAGGGGCTAATTGATCGGATCTTAAAATACCAGTAAAATAGCATAGGACGCGTGTAAAACTGGGAACGTCTGTTAAGTGAAGAACGATTGGTGGTGCGTGTAAAATTCGACTTACCGACCTCCAAACGCCCCTGTTAACCTGCACTTTACACGCACGCATGACATAAAGATATGATTATCCCTGACTGTTTGATGAGTTTTTAATAAGATGTGCGATTTTCTCTAGCTTTCAATGTGTTTTGACCGATTGTTTTTAATGGAGAATATCTGGAGTCGTGCAGAAAAAGCATTACTTAATGACATTAGTAATTAATGAATAAAGTAGTAACACGTAATAGACCAAGTGAATTTTCGACAGTTTTTCATATATTGAATAATTACGCTAATGATTCACTATAGAACAGAACATTGTTTTGACACCGACTTCCAGGAGCACTTGTTAGCACAATCAATGTAATGTAAAAAAAAAATGATGGCGACGATTGCAAAGGTGTCAACTGTCACTGATCTACCTGACCTCTCCACGACGAGACAAACTCAAGCACGGATTCAATGATCCCGCTCAATGTGGAACACACGATTTCTTTAATCCATCTAAGCGTTTCGATTACGGTCTTCTGGTATATCAGGTCGATGAGCAGGTTGCAGTCGGTCTACCTGATATCTCTACAAGACGAACTCAAGCACGAATTCATTGACCCGATCCATTGCGGAGCACATGATTATTAGAGTCGATCCGAGTCTTATAATGGCCTTCAGGTACATCAGGTAGACGGACAGGTCGCAGTTGTTCTCCGAATGGAGCACGAATATTTCTCGTCCCTGGAGGTGAAAACATATTTTTTTGCACTCGGTGACGCAGACAGACAAAATATAGCGACCGTGGCAAAAGTGCCAACGGTCACCGGTGTACCTGATGTCTTTACGGTAAAGCAAACTCAGGAACGGATTTAATGACCTCGCTCATTGTGGAGCACATGATTTTTTGGGCTAATCCAAGTCTCACGATTATGGTCTTCAGGTATATCAGGTCGATAGGCAGGTCGCAGTCCGTCTCAGAGTGGAGCACGAATATTTCTCGTGCCTGGAGGTGAAAACACATATTTTGTTGCACTCGATGACACATACAAAAAAAAAGATAGCGACCGTGGCAGAGGTGCCAATGGTCACCGGTATGCCTGATCTCTGCATGACAAGGAAAATTCAGGCACGATCCACTTTATCCTGTCTATTGTGTAACACATTTTATTTAGTCAATTAGGTTCAGATTGACTTTTCAATGACGTTATGTCCATTCCACATTCCGTCATTTCGTTGATTTGGAAATTTCAACCCTTAAACTGAATCTGCCCCCACAGGTGTGATCTATTCAATTAGACCCCCCTCCCCCTCTCTATCTTGGAGCACGCAAAAAACATATTTATGGCACATCGTATTTTTAAATCATCCCCTATTTTCATCCCCTCACCGCTAACTCAGAGAGGGATAGAGCACGATTTTTTTCTGTTCACGCACTATTTTATACATAAAAAACACGTAATTTTGACCCAAAAAAATATGCCATTTTTTGACATTGCTAACTTTAGGGAGGCAAGCGATCTTCAATGCATGAAAAATCTCACTCCTATCGCCCGCGATGTTTAAAACTCATGGTAGTCTCCCCTTAAGGGGTAACAGAAGGCCATCATTTCCTTGAAATTTTCAAATAAATTTTCTACTCAAAGTTGTCAATAGTTTTTTAACCCAAAGCATATTGATCTTCATCATCGCTTCCTGGATATTAATGTGCTTTGATTTGTAAAAATATCGATAACTTTCGGCAAGAAATTTGTTCAAAAATTTGGAAAATTAGTAATATTCTGTTACCCATTGGGCCATCCAGATGGACCATCCAAAAGGGAAGAACACTCAATGGGAGAAAAAATGATCCCTCTTTATCATCAATGCAATGCGTTATTCACATTCTAAGGAAAGTCAAAAGTGGTTATTCTAGATCCACTTTCTTTTAGTAAAATCTGCTTCTATGAAATTACCTTCAATTGTATGCTCGACTGGATTCCCGAGATTGATCGGCTGCGTATAATTGGAGGACATCAATGCCACCAAACCATCTACTAAATCGGAGACATATTGAAACGACCTTGTCTGCTTCCCATTGCCATAAATAGTGATAGAATCGTTCTGAAGTGCTTGTAAAATGAAATTGGATACGACTCTTCCATCGTTCATATGCATTCTCGGGCCAAATGTATTAAAAATTCTAGCGACACGCACTTCCACACCTTCTTGTCGCATGTACGAATAACTTAGGGTCTCAGCAACACGTTTACCTTCGTCGTAACATGCCCGGGGCCCTACAAATTCATCATTTTAGTATTTTCTCTTCTGCGGTGCTTTCTATGGAAGTCAATTTTTTCTATTATTTGCCTCACGTACCAATGGGATTAACGTGACCCCAATAAGTTTCAGACTGTGGATGCTCCATCGGATCTCCATACACTTCAGAAGTACTAGCGATCAAAACTCTAGCACCCACACGTTTTGCAAGACCTATGATTCATTATTTTTCTTTAGTAGTAGTAGTAGTAGTAGTAGTAGTAGTAGTAGTAGTAGTAGTA